CTCCTCTGATGCTGCTTGGCCTGCAGTGTTCATCCAGCTCTACACCTTGTTATCTCAGATTCTCCAGCATCGGCAATTCCTACTAATACTGCAGAGAGTTATTTTATGTTATAGACATTAGGAGATGTCAGCTGTTAGACAAAAAAATTGTATCGATGTATAAGAGAAAGTTATTTTATCTTGATTTCTCAGGATGCCTCAAAAACATTTCACGAGCAATACATTACCTGTAGCTCATAGAGCTCATTGCTGTACTTTCCATACTCCACCATGCCACCGAACACCAACAGTCGAGTACCATCACATACGAATCCGTAAGCCGCACATCCTGCCGGAATGTCCCCCCTCACCGCTGGGATGAACCACTGATTGGTTGCTAAAGACGAGCAAAAAAGATAGAAAGTGACATTTCCCTACTGTATCCCAATATCAATGTACTAAATAAGGCCTATTGTTTTACTTACATGGGACTTTATCACAGCAAAAACATAATAGACTTGCATTGATGAGATGGAATCAGATGTAACAGTATTACAGTTGAATACAGACAATTACAGAGGCATGAGGGAGGAGCTGGCCAGAATTGACTGGGAGAGGAGCTTAGCAGGAATGACAGCAGAACGGCAATGGCAGAAGTTTCTGGGCGTAATTCAGGAAACACAGCACAAATTCATCCAAAGGATAAAGAAGCATACTAAAGGGAGGACGAGGCAACATGGCTGATAAGGGAAGTCAGGGACAGCATAAAAGCAAAAGAGAAAGCATACAATGCGAAGGACAGTGGGAAGCCTACAAAAGACCAACAGAGGACAACTAAAAAGAGAAATAAAGAAGGGAGAAGACTAAATAGGAGGATAAGCTAGCCAGAAATATAAAAGAAGATTGCAAGAATTTTTTAGATATATAAAAGTGCAAAAGAGAGGCAAAAGTGGGGCATTAGGCTGCTGGAAAATGACAATGGAGACGTAGCAATGGGGAATAAAGAAATGGCTGAGGAACTGAACAAGTACTTTGCATCAGTCTTTACAGTGGAAAACACTAGCAACATCCTAAAAATTCAACAGATTTTCGGTGGGGGGGGGGGGGGGGAGCAGGGGTGGGGGGGGGGGGGGGGGTGGCCATCACCAAGGACAAGGTGCTAGAAAAACTGAAAGGTCTGAAGGTGGATAAATCACCTGTGCCAGATGGACTACACCCCAGAGTTCTGAAGGAGATAACTGAAGAGATAGTGGAGGCATTAGTGGTAATCTTTCAGGAATCACTAGAGTCAGGAAGGGTCCCAGAGGACTGGAAAAATTGCTAATGTAATCTCCGTTTAAGAAGAGAGCAACGCAAAAGACGGGAAGTTATGGGCCTATTAGCCTGACCTCGGTCGCTAGTAAGATTTTGGAATCCAATGTGAAAGAGGAGATTTCTCAATACTTGGAAGTGCATGGCAAAATAGGGCAAAGTCAGCATAGCTTCAAAGGGTGGTTACACCTGACAAAACTGTTAGAATTATTTGAGGAGGTAACGAGCAGGCTAGACAAAGGAGAGCTAATGGATGTTATCTTCTTGGACTTCCAGAAGGCCATTGACAAGGTACTGCACAGGAGGCTGCTGAGTAAGATAACAGCCCATAGTGTTACAGGCAAGGTCCTAGCATGGATAGAAGATTGGTAGAAAGCAGAGTGGGGATAAAAGGGTCCTTCTCAGGACAGCAGCCAATGACTAGTGGCATTCTGCAAGGGTCAGTGTTGGGACCACAACTTTTCATTTTATACATTAATAATCTAGATGAAACAACTGACGGCATTCTGCTAAGTTTGCAGATGATACAAAGATAGGTGGAGGGACAGGTAATATTGAGGAGACGGGAAGGCTGCAGCAGGATTTAAGACAGATTAGAGAGTAGGCAATGAAGTGGCAGATGGAATACGTGGGAAAGTGAGCAATCACGCACTTTGAAAGGAAGTAGAGGTACAGACTATTTTCTAAATGGGGAGGAAATTCAGAAATCTGAAGTGCAAAGGGACTTGGGAGTCCTAGTCCAGGATTCAGCTTGCAGGTTGAGTTGGTAGTTAGGATGGCAAATTGATTATTGGCATTTAATTTGAAAGGACTAGAATATAAATGCAGAAATGTACTTCCGAGGCTTTATCAGGCTCTGGTCAGACCATATTTAGAATATTCAGAGTACGTTTGAACCCCATATCTCAGGAAGGATATACTGGCCCTGGAGCGGGTCTAGAGGAGGTTCATGAGAACGATCTGAAGAATGAAAGGCTCAACATATGAGAAACATCTCAGGATTCTAGGTCTATAGTTGATGGAGTTTAGACGGACGAGGGGAGATCTAATTGAAACTTACAGAACACTGAAAGGCCTAGATAGAGCGGATGTTGGGACGATGTTTCCATTAGCAGGAGAGACTACGGCCAGTAAAGGAAGACCCTTTAGAATGGAGAGGAGGAGAAATTTCTTCAGCCACAGAGTGGTGAATCTATGGAATTCATTTCCACAGAAGGCTGTGGATGCCAGGTCATCGAGTATATTTAAGATGGAGATAGAAAGGTACTTGATTGTTAAGCGGATCCAAGGTTACGGGGAGAAGGTGGGAGAATGGGGCTGAGAAATTTATCAGTCATGATTGAATGGCGGAGCAGACTTGATGGGCTGAATGACCTAATTTCTGCTGCTTTGTCTCATGGTCTTATGCTGTCATGGTCGCTAGACTTCTTAAAGTGCTTCAGAGCCAATGAAGTACTTCCTTTCAAGTATAGTCACTGTGTGTAAGAAACACAGCAAGCCAATTTGCGCTCAGTAAACTCCTACAAACTGTAACTTGATAATGACCAAATAGTCTGTTTTGTTGATTAAGGGATAAACATGGGTCAGAAAATCAGGGATATCTTCCACGTGCTTCTTTGGAATGCTGCCATAGGATCTTTTACTTTCACCCAAGCTGACAGGTGCGGCCTATGCTAAACATCTTATTCGAAAGATGGCTCCTCGGACAACGTGGTATTCCCTCAACAGTGTTTTGTAATGTCCAATTGCACATTTTTGGGATCAAGTCCTGGAATGGGCATTGAACCTTTTGACTCGTAGGCAAGGGGGTTGCTACTGAGCCATTGTCATCTCCAAAATATCTTTAAAAAAGTATTTCTTACAACATGTTAATTTTGACATGGACTAATATATCAGCAAACACTGGGGGAGGCTGGGAGACTCTTTGCATGCAAGCAGATGTAGAATCACAAAGGTAAGAAGAACGTTCCTGATGGGGAGTCCAGAACCAGGGGTCACAGTTTAAGGATATGTGGTAGGCCATTTAAGACTGAGATGAGGAGAACTTTCTTCATCCAGAGAATGTTGAACCTGTGGAATTCTCCGCCACAGAAAGTGATTGAGGCCAAAACATCAAATATTTTTAAAGAAGTAGTTAGACATAAGCTCTTTGGGTTAAGGCAATCAAATGGTACAGGGAGAAAGCAGGAACAGGGTACTGAGTCGGGTGATCAACCATGATCACATAGAATGGCGAAGCAGGCTTGAAGGGCACAATGGCCTATTCTTGCTCCTATTTTCTATGTAAAATAAAAAAGTTTATAGTACTAATAATGAATACCACAACACTGACATGGAACTTGGCATTTGATGGGGTCAGGAAAAATTTAAGAACACCATCTGAAGCCTTAGCTAAAAAGCATTGAATTTTAAATAAACTTTCCAAGATGATGGGGAAGAGAATATTCTAGATAGTTCGTTTGAAACTGAATTTTTTAAAAAAAATTACTCATCGGACATGGGTGTCACTGACTAGCCCATCATCATTTATTGCCTGTTAGTAGCTGCCCTCAAGAAGGTAAGAGTGTGCTACGTTCTTGAATAGCTGCAGTCATGTGCGGTAAGTGCACATTTGACTCTTGACGTGAGGAGAAAAGGATAATATAGAAGACCAGACAACAAAAGATGGGTTACGAGGCTGGGACAGGCAGAAGTAGTCATGGATTTTAAATTATTTAGGAGACCATTGTGACGGAACAATGAGAGGATAAATTCTCAAGTCGGGCTAATGTAAAATTACGGACATGCTAGGATTAAGGGACGCTGGTTCACTGACAAGTTAACTGCTGGCAAAGCCAAATTTACAGTTGAAGCAGCCTGGTTAAATATTTCAGCACTCCCAACTGTAACTCAAATTTCAAGGAGCAGGAAAGATATTGTAAGATAAGATTATGGGCATCCAGTATAAATAGACATCCAAAGATAAAATCCACGTACCACCGTTAATAAAGTGATACAAGTAGACAAGCTGTAGTTGGTGTCACAAATGGAATCATGGGTATCATTAGTCAGATCACTTGTTAAAAATTAAATTTGATGAACAGAGTTTGACATTTGACTACGTTCCACTTTGTTTGTCTCAACAAACAAAAACTACAGGCAACACAAGAACTGCTTTGTTGCTGTGGGAAAAAAAGTTTAAGATGTAGATTTCAAAACTTTTTCAAATTAACCAAAGTCATGATGCAAAAATCATTACAGTGATAGAAAATGATGTAATGCAATTTGCATGCAATAGGCCATCACCAAAGGCAACACGTTAAATGAAATAATTTCATCACAAGAAAAACAAACAAACAGTCTCACTTCTTAAACTGTTATTTTAAATAATGGGAGAATGCTTGTGCCACATTTAAAATAAATTATATTCAAGGAGAATTACTCAAGAGATTAAAGCATTGAGAAAGGGAATAATCTATAGAAAGAGTGAAAAAGAAATGGAGATTTTTGCACCAAGTTTATTTTGGCATTTTACATCCAAGTATTTGCCAGTTACAAAACCTTTCAGAATTTCCCATGCTCACTAATTGTGCAACAATTTCCATTTTAAAATTTGTACCTTTTAATATAGTAAAATAACCCAAAAAGCATCAACAACTTATTAAAAAAAAAAATTGACGCCAAAGACACAAAGAGATATCAGGACAAGGGCATGGCCAAACAACTTTTAAGCAGCTTCTTGAAAGGAGATGTTGGGTATACAGGAGCTTAGGGAGGGAATTCTACACAGTTGGCAGGCATGGCTGAAGACACGGCGGTTAATGGTTAAACAGTGAAATTCAGGGAAGGACAGATGCCAGGCGTCTGCTAAAGGTCTCAGTGGGCTCTAAGAGCTCATTGAAATGTGAAAGGTGGGTGAAGAGGTAAAGGTGGAGAATATGTACAAACATGTGTTTATGTTTTACACATATGGAGCAATCAGACAGAAGGAAGTTCCAACTGAAAACAGCTGGTAGGAAAATGCAAAATTAAGTTCTGATGGAACTTCAAATCTCCTCCAGGGAAAGCAACAATTCCAAAAGGTCAAGCTCCAACTTCTCAGCCTCA